AGCAAAATTTTACATGGCAATGTAGGGTGGTATTTTTTGTAATAATAGCTTAGTCTATAAACGACATAGTACATCAGATTTTGATCAATATAACTCTTAGCTTTCAGATTTGATTTTTGGCCATGTTACTACATGTTACCAATTAAGAGGGCATGTATGAGAAACAAATATATTTACATGTAACTGGTAAGGGAGTTGTGATTTTCTTGTTGAGGCTGGATGGCTCAATCTATTTTAAATGACTTGGTGCAGTGTAAACAACAAGTTGAACAATATTATTGTGTATCACACAGCTGGTATCACAGTAAAATGTATATGATATGATACTACATGTATAAAAAACTTTAATTTCTACTGGTAATATTTAGAAAACAAATTCATTCACACAGACATTCAACATGCAGATTAACAGCTTGATTAATATCGTATCGAAAATTAATTTTATTCTGTCCGATTACTAAAACTTCATTTAGCAGACTATTTAATTTCATATTAAGCACTAAAATATTTACACACAGCAGTTAAAAATGCACACATTACAGTTTTATTTTAGATTGTTTGTCAGAATTTTTGAAAACAGAAATATTTGGTTTTCATGAAAAGTCATAATAAATTCAGAAATTTTAAGACAATTTAAGGATAAAAAGCCATCTGTGTGCATTGAGTTTGGAGAAAAAAGAAAAAGAAATTTATATGTTATATACTTGTAAGAGGTGGGGATAGAGGGTTCTTGGACATTAGTGTGTTCAAAGGACAGTGTCATGTATATTTGATATTATAATATGCTGCAGTGTTTTTAAGTGACAGTGATTTGGATCTTTGTAATTTACATGTTTAATGGCATGTAGATTTATGTTCACTAAAATTTGTGTATTTTTTATGTATTTCCTCATCAATACAATCATTCCTGTCAGTATTAGTTGTTTGATCAGTCCAAAATATGAAAACTGTGATACATTTAATGTACTTACTGTATGCGTGACCACAGTACTGATAAGACCAAACACTAAAATTTAACATCCCTGTTCTAACCATTTCCTTATACATGTACTGTATTTGTTAAAAGAACACATACTAAACCATTGTATACTGGAAACCATAGACACACCACTGTCATTTATGTAATCACATGTGCTAACAAATACAATGTAAATAATGACAGTCACTTCCTCTTGGCAGGTGTTTGCCATGGCCATCTTGTATAAAATACTTTGTTTCTTCACACATTTGCTTTCATTAAAATTACCTCAATTTTGTAAATACTTAAAACTAGAATGAAAATAAATAATTGAATAATTTTATGGTTTCTTTGAATTTGAAATGTATTATTATTGTAATATGAAATTGGTTGTTCTCTTAGAATATTCCCAATTTGTGCACTGGAATAAAAATAACATGGAAATCTGCTGTGCTACCTGTTTTGAAAACAGGTTTTAGTATGTTAATAATGAGAAGTACATCAAGTTTAGTAGGTAATTAGAGCCATGCAAAAAATGTCTGATTGTTCAATTTGTGCATTGCACTACCTGAGTACAGGTTGAGAGGCAACAAAACCATGTACATGTGTATGCATGGTTTGAAATGACCACTTTTGATACTTAATGTTTTATATCATTACCAAGTATGTCAATTGATCTGTGTTTTGTATTCTGGAAAAATACATAATTATTGTTGTTTATGAATGAACCTAGGCTTGATTAAGCTTGGGGAAAATTTGTACATTGTACATTTTATACCCTGGTATGTAGAAATGTTTCTAGATTTTCAAAATGTTATGCTCTGATAATACATTTTATGCTCTTATAATATAGAAAAAAATTAGATTGAGAGAGGGAGGGAAAGAGGGCACTTAGTAAAAACTTACTGACAGTAAACATCGAATAGCAGTTAATTTGTGCTTTGATTTGGATTGATCTTCTAACCTTTCAGTCAATAATCTAGCATGCACCATGAAGCTAATGCAAACACTTGAAATAGATATAAGTTGATTTTAATGATGTTAGTGATTTGATATGTTATAGGTATTCCACTATTGATACATTGCGTCATGATATGGCTCAAGATGAAATCGATAACCGTCCCAAAGCTCAGACTCCACCAGAGAGTGAAACAGAATCAGAGTTGGAAGATGATGAAGAAGAGGAATCTCCAAGGTCACCACATCCACAGTACAATGTAATTGACAGAGAAGCGGAATATAGACAAGAGAGAGTACAAGAAATCATTTACTCACAGCCAAACAAACTTAGAAAACAGGTTAACATCTAATTTTTAATTCTCTTGTCCAATCTTTATCAAGAATGTTTTTATTCCAGTTTATTTATTATTGATTTAAATTGAAATTAAAAGTTGTTATTAGCAATACCAGCAAGTTTTACACCAAAAATTTCCAAAAGATATGTCTATCTTGATCAGTTGAATTTGTAATAGAGTAAAATATAAGACATTGAGTGGTATGTAGTGTTTTTGTTGCTATTAAAATGTGGTTTAATTTACTCTCATTTATGCTACTCCAGAAGAATGCAGAAAAGTGCACAATTTTGAACCCTGTTGGATTTTTATAGGTTAATAAATTATATTACATGTCATTACATGTCTTGTCATGCACTGTGTCTGAAAACACTACAAATTCATTATTTCCTGATAATTCCTGACTGAAATACAATTGACATTAATGCTACATTTTTTGTTCAGTTATAACAATTTTAAAACAAATTAATTGATATCTAGCTGATATATTATTACAATAGAACAAAATCACTTATTTTGACTGTTTAACTATGATATCAGAAGTAATCATCATTGACATGCCTGTATGCCATTATCTTTATAATAATGTTTTTTTTTTATTCTAGGGGAAAGAACGTCCATCTTCCGTGACTAGTGATTTAACCGTTGTTAGTAGTCCACTTGATGATTTCTCAGACTTAGGTGCACCCCCTCCACCATGGGAAAGAAAAAGAAGCAATAATGGTAAGTAGATGGTAGCATGTTGATGGTATATATTATGTGTTTATCATGGTTGATGGTATTATTGTGCTAGGAAATCATGATATATTCTCTTATGTTTATTACTTGACAGGGTTTGATGATAGTGGATCACCACGTCGAAGTAAAAGCACCTCTCATCCAATTATTGAGGAACCAGTAAGTTTGACTTTCTTACAGAAATACCATTGCATATTTTATGTGAATTACTGGAAATGTGAAAATGATATTTAGACTCAATTAAAATTATGTTAAAGATCTGCCAAAAATTAACGCTGTTACATCTAAGTTATGCAACAGTACCAGTTTTTTTTTTTTCCCTCAAAAATACATAATGCAAAAAAAAGTTTGTTATAATAAATTAGATGTAATCAGCAATTCAAAATTGTGCAACTGAAAGCTTTGTCAACCTGGTGAGCTTGTACTGAAACAGGATCAAGCATCTATCCAATCAAAGACGTGCATTCATGTCTCTTATGGCATCCATATATGGTAGTGATGAACTCTTTGTGTTGACGCCAGGCATGAATGTGAATCAGTGATCGTACAAACAATGTTGGGGAATAAAGTGCCAAAACAACACTTTGGGCAGAGTGGTGATAGGGAGGCAGTTTTACTGTAAACAGTGGTGTTAATGAGACAGTTCCTCCTTAAAGAGTAGGATTAGGGTGGCAATGGATGCATGGGACAATTACACCATGGTGCTGATACTGACAAAGAATATAAAATATACAAGACTATGAATAATAATATAATTTTTAACATTATTTTATAATATCACCTGTAACACAGACTACTTGTTCACTTATAATAGTGTTGATAAAATCTATAATATTGCTGATATCATATTGTACTGGGATGATATTACCAAAAAATATCACTACCATCAGCTGTGAAAGCAATAATTTATTCTTTATGCAAATCATGAAATATGTAGCTACCGTAGTACTGTAACATTTGTTGCAAATTCTTTTTATAATTTATCTGTTGAACCTTGTGTTAAAGTGATTGTGGTATTAAAAAGTGCACACAGATGTGACAGCTAGCTAATCTACCAAGATGGAAAGTAAAGGAATGTATCTATTATTTAAATTAAATTTTGTTTTCAAGGTTAAATGGCATTATCATCAGGATGTCAACCAGTTCATATTTTTTTTGAAAGAGTTTCTTTTATTGCCTATGTTATATATAAGCTCAACATGTGAGCAACAACAACAGATAAAATTACAATATGGACTGTTAGTGTTAAATGCAGGTGGTACTATCGTATCTTATTATTAAAATTGTAATTAAATTTACAATGTAGCTTTATTGATTTAGAAGTTTTGTTGTTACATATAGGTGAAGGGTAGTCAGCAAGCAAGCAATCTAGCACTTTCTGCTAATAAATTAAATATTAATATTAAAAAAAATTAATAATTAGGTAGGCAGGGTTTTTTATTTTAATTCAAGCTTTCACATTTTTCTAATGGGCTTGTACTCTTACATTATTCATAGCATTATAATTTTTTTGACTAAAGATGTAAAAATGAAATTCTCATGGTAGAGTTTCTTTTTGCAAGCAAGAAGATATTTTTTGAAAAAATTGTACGTAGTTAATATATAGGACTCCATGTAGGAAAATAAAACTTTGCTGAGAACTATATTTTATAAAGATATGTGGGTCTTCAAATTTGTTAACTGTACTAAACTACTATACAAGCCTGAATCGCAACCACATCGTAAAAGTGAAACGTCATTAAATATTAGGATATAAACCTCTCTAGGGAAAATTAGCATATTTGGTAGGAGATAATAACTTGCAAGTTCATTAATTGAAGTTTTCTCGCCAAATGCGCAATAATAAAAATATAGCATTTTAGGTAATAATAATTTGAATTATACATCCAGGATCGATAACAATAGAATTTGCTGTTCCATAAAAAACTATAAGCATTTGTTCCAAAATCTATAAGCACTCATTTGAATATTCAAATTTCCCTTATATGGGGTAAACTACATCAGCAACATTGAAGTCTTCCAAGTTATAACGCCACATTCAAACACTTATACCAACTTTGTTTATATTGGACGCACAGGTGCTTCAGTGTGGCAAAAATAGAATTATGTCACTGAACACAAACGGACACACACTGCAAAACATTTTTTGTTGTCATTTCAGGCATATAGTCTCTCATTATTATTACTACAAGTAAGAAAAAGATATACAATAACAAGGTTTTTATAAGAATACTGGAAAGTATGCACTCAGGCAGTACTGTTGATGCATCAATCTCTGTTACATGTTAATAATATGATCGTTATGCATACTTTGTGGTATTCTTGTGATAGCATCATATTTAAATAACTATTAACTGCAACTGAGGGGTATATGGAGATTTGTCTCCCTCATGTGACAATCTTCATACATGTATACCCAAAAATTACAGATATATGATTTTTCAGAATGTCAACTAACTTTATTAATGATTATTCCAGATTGTAAAAGTTGATGTCAGTAAATCAGAAGGTGGTAGAATGAATGGATATGGTGGGAGTCATATTAGCAGTCAAGAACCAGGTAATTCTATATATCTACATACTGGGTACATAACAGAATCTTTTCTCTGAAACCCCTGTGAACTGCTATGTATGTATGTGACAAATCATCTCACAGTGATCACTTTGTTTATTTCTGTTCAATTTTAATATTTTGAGCTAGGTTATTATGAGAATGCTGCATAATACATGTATGCTTGAAGGCAGTATTACGATCATATCAGCTGATGTGTAACAAAGGTTGAGTACATAGTGATCTTTTTCTGATAATCCTATTACTTATTACATCCTTTCCTAGTATATAATAATATACACAGTGTCCCAAAAGTTCGTTCACCTTATTGTTCAGGCATTTACCCCCCCCCCCCTATTATTTTCACATCCGACACCACCTGGTCAGCGAGCTGGCGTGTGGTTGTCCATCTGGGTCATATGTGTCGGCTGATTGCATAAAATGTTCAGAATATATCAGTTTGTCTCACTGGCTTGAGAGATGCCCACATGAACACACCATGGGCAAAGTGAAATCTTGACATCACAGACTTTCTGATTCCCAGCTCCCAGCTCCATGCCCAAGCTGTTGCCCTTTGTAGTGTGGGCAAAACTTGTGAGCAGGTTGCCAAGTCATTGGGGAGGACTGTACAATGGGTTTTGAAGTGGACCTAGTGTCACAAGCAATGTGCAGGCCTTGAAGATAAACCCCCATCTGGACGTCCTCGTGTGCTCACTGCCAGATCCAGGGACATCATCAGGAAGGCCTAGGACAGAAGGCAACAGTCATGTAGGTGGTTGAGTCGCAGACTAAAAAACATTGACGAGAAAGGCTCTAAGAGCACTGTTCATCGCTATATGACCTAGAAATTGGTTTGATGACATACAAGAGGCCCAAAGTATCACGACTGACAGAGATCCAGAAAGGGAAGAAGGCTGTCTTTCACAAGGAATTAGGCCAGCTTGACGCCAGAGGACTGGGAGAACTGGATTTTCTCTGACGAGTGCCCCTTGTATTTGTTTCCGACACTCAACAGTCAAATTGACCGGGTCTACACCGATAGTTCTGAGAAAGTGCAGGTGAAGTTGAGTGCCCATACCATGGGTTGTCTGAGCTTCACATAGTGCCACAAGGGACCACAGTAAATGGTCATTACTATCTGCAGGAGATACTGGAACCGACACTGGTGCCCATCATAAACAGAAAGAAGAGGAGTTGTCCTGTCACTGGCCGGAAGATGTACAAATGATGCTCGGACATGGTGTTTATGCAGAATGGTACACCTGCTCATACCGCCTGTGTGAGCCAGGAGTGATGTTCCAGGAAACTTTCTGGCTTTCTCCGTAAAAAGGAATGGCCCCCAACTCACCAGACTTGAATCCAATTGAAAACTGCTGGGGGATACTGAATGACAGAATTTTCAGCAGCCGACCATGAAGCAGCTAAATGCAAGGGCAGTAAAGGAATGGGAGAACATAGAGCCCTCGGTTCTCAAAGACTTGGTGCACTTGGTATTAAAATAAAAGGGGGATACAGTGGATATTAAATTATGGGATTCTATCAGCATGTGTTTGTATTATCGATTGCTAATCAACATGCTTTTGGGACTTGATGTACTGTAAAATCTGTATTAGAAATCGCGGCTTTTATTAAAATGGTACAATGCAACAGAGGGGATGCGGCTTCTATTAGGGCATCTACACATATGAGAAATGATGAAATTTTGGTTCTCAATTATTCAAAATTAAAGGGTGCGACTTCTATTAGAGATGGGGCTTCTAATACAGATTTTTACGGTACATACTTTTACAAGATTCATGGCTGTAGGATTGTTTGCATTCACGGACTGGATTCAATTCCTGTCACATGCTACATTCTTGCCATGTCTGATGTCATGAATGGAAAGTGTTCAAATGTGACTTTAATATGCATTGACTCATCCCGGATTTAAAAAAAGAGTTGAATTTCCCGCATTCTGAATATAAGGCGTATTTATGAAATAATAACTCTACCATAATTTCAGCTGGTTGATCTTTGCTTGTTTCTGCATTCATTTTCATTCTGGCTCAGTTTCTACGATATTTATTCAAATCACTCATAATCCATTGCTTTTGGCATCGTCAGCCAATATTGAACAATGCGTACACATTTTGAGTGTTCAGTAGTTTGGGAATGATAGGGTACATTGTGTAAAGTATTTATGGCATTTTTTGGGAAATTCCCATGACATCATTTCCAATTGAAGAACAGACAACCAAGACATTTATTGGTAATTTCTGGTTGGACATGTGTCATTTTGGGGTGAAAACGACAACAAAGACGTTTATTGGTAATTTCTGGTTGGACATGTGTCATTTTGGGATGAAAACGACAACAAAGACATTTATTGGTAATTTCTGGTTGTACATGTGTCATTTTGGGGTGAAAACAACAACAAAGACATTTATTGGTAATTTCTGGTTGGACATGTGTCATTTTGGGGTGAAAACGACAACAAAGACATTTATTTGTAATTTCTGGTTGGACATGTGTCATTTTGGGGTGAAAACGACAACAAATCATGCATATACTTGTGTGATTGGTGATAAAATTCTCTAAAATTACCTTTAGGAAAAAAGCACTAATAAATAGTGGGGAATCTCCACAAATTGGCATGAATCAGGCAATTTTGTGTTCTGAATAAGATACTGATACGTGTTAGCCAAATAAGGAAAATCTCCAGAACACATTTGAATACATCTGTACAGAGCTTTGCAGATGGCTACTTTCTATTGTTTTCATTGTGAGATGTACAATAATTCTATATATTTCTTGCCTTTAAAACAATTTATTTATTTAGCTTTGCAACAGCATGAAACCTAAAAGAAGTATAAATATTTCTTAATTTATGTAATTATTTTAAATTTTGATTGGAATGTCTTTTAGAATGTTGTATTTTGACCGTAGAAATTTACATATCAGTGCATGTGCTGCAAACAGCAAATACGGCATATCACTTTGCTGTATAGACTATGTACCGTAATACATTTGTTACAGACATACAGTAAACCATAGTAATTTTATGGCATTCTTTGAGACAAAATGTTGTGAAAACCACTTACTATTACTATTACACTTACTGCTATAACATTTTTTGTATTTCACCGACTTGCAAAAATTGTTCTTTCGTAAAATTGAAACGATTTACAATAGCATTACACAACTCTTCTTTCTCTCGATGTCTTTCTTTTCTGTCTATCTTTACTTAGATGATGATCTTTACAATGTGAGTGTAGTGGATTCACAGTATATTATGGTACCTATGTATGCTGCTCCTAAGTCAGTCTCAGATCCAGGACCCTCCATACACAGAACTATTGCTCATAATAGTATGTAAAGAGTAAACACAATTCAAAATCTGTAAACAAATCATATGTAAATAGTAAACAATTCCCACACATTAAATAGTGAACAAACTCATTAATCTGTAAATGTAAAACATTTTCTAATACTTTTTTTTTTTGACATATCATTGTCATTTACTGTAATATCATTAGTGTCATTGTGTCCCAATGCATGTCCATCTCAGGTTCTACTCAGATGACTGAAGCACTAAGTGTTAATACCCCAGTAAATACTAACCTGTGAAAACTGTCAAATTAACACATAATTA